GGGGGGGGTACCGGAGGAGGAGACGAAGGGTGTCAACGTGCGTGGATTGATTTTGTCGATTGATTTAGTATATGTTGTGTTGGCTTTTTGGGGTTTTCGTATAGTGTAAAAGTGTGGGATAAATCAAAGCACGCAATCGAGGAAGTTGGGTTAGGGTTAGGTTAGGGAATAGGGTCTGCGTACCACCTCCTGTTTCCTCGCTTAACTTGTTCATCGCTCGAAGGCGGTCCGAGTGATCGACTTGTGGTGCTTGACGCTTGGGTCAAGGAGGTCGATTTCCCTCGGGGAGGTGTGTGTCACAAGGGGCAAGCAAGGGCTGTGTTGGTACTCGGGCGCTTTATCCACATTGAATGAACACACGATTCACTGAAGCGGGGCATTTGTTCCATGCCGTTGCCTTGTTTCGCTACAACCCTGATCCCAGTTGTGTTCATTTTTGTAGCACTTCCAGCACATGTACACATGCGTTGGCGGCCGTTTTTTTTTAGTTTCTCGACCCCACGCGCCTCTCTCTGGCTTTGCTGTGGGCTGCTGTTCTGTTTCCATCATACTCGCGTTAGACGTGTGGACGAGTCTGCCTGCACGAGCCAAGCTGGGGAGTGGAACGGACCAACATGCCTCACGTTAGATCTTTATCACCCTAACCGCAGTCACTGTCCGTGGAGGTCTACGTTGATCTTTGTGGTAGACAGTGGAACCGCCTGTTTCTTCGATATTTGTTCTCTTGGTGTTGTTCTTGCGTCTGCGATCCTGGTGTGTGTGTGCGTCTTCTTTATTAACATCACCCGCGCTATCCGGCGGAACAAGTGTGTGTGTGTATGTGTGTGCGTGTTTTCATTGGGATCGACCGCGCTAACCGGCTGACCAATGAAAATACGCCAGTCTCAGTGCGGTGGAAAACACAGAATGGTTTTATAGGCCACGATCTGATATCCTGTGACCGATCGCCATGGGGGAGTCTGCGCTACTCTCCGGATTAAAGAAAGATACCGTAGCGACAACCTGCGTGTATGTTTAACGAAAGCATTCTTGCCACCACCGCTCGAATCAACCAACACGCAGGCGTCAGCGGCGGGCCAGACGGCAGCAGTCGTAGCAGTCCGGGCTACCGGCGGCGCCGGTGCTAGCGCTGCCCAGGAGAGCAGCAGCAGCCCCACCACGGCAGCTAGCCCGGAGTCAGCAGCGACAACGGGAGGGGCGGGCGGGGCGGTGGAGGATGGCGAGAGCGCGCTGAGAAGCGCGGCGTCTGGACAATCAGCACCGGAAGACGATGGTAGTGGGGTGACGAGAAGCCCCGGCGGCAGCGGCAGCGGCAGCGGTGGCGAGGGCAAGCCCGGCCCCGCCGCACTCTCCGCTG